TGACATTTCTTTTCCATTATGTACCTATCGATTAAAATTCAAAGAACAAAACTGGGTAAATGAGGAGATAAAAGCATACTCTAATTATATAAAAGATTTGTATGTTTGGTCTAAGATTACACATAGCCCTAGAGTATATAATCAGTATAAAATTGTACGACAAGAATACCGGAAATTTCTGTCGAATTACAAAATAGCTCTAAATGAAAGTAAAATATTAAACTCAAAAAACATGACAAAAACTGCGTGGAGTATTTTAAACGCAGAAACTAATACAAAAATTAAGCGTTCCATTGAGCTAAAACTTAATAATGGTGTAATAATAAAAGATCCCCAAAAAACTGCTGATGCCTTTCAGGAAAGGTTTGATATCTCTCCACAATCCCATGGCAGTCTTGATATTTCGGAAGCTAGTGCGATTCCCACTTTATTTTTGCTTCCTGTTGACAATAGGGAAATTAAACTAACTTTGGCGAGTTTGCCAAACAAATTTTCAGCTGGTTTGGATGAAATCCCGGTGGTAGTTCTAAAGCAGATATCTGACTATATATGCGAACCGTTAGCTTATATTATTAATGAATGTCTGTTTACAGGAATTTTTCCGTCACATTTAAAGAGGGCCAAACTGGTTCCCATTTACAAAAAAGGAGATGTGCATGACATAGATAATTATCGACTAGTCTCACTGTTATCTTCTGTGTCAAAGGTCTTTGAAAAAGTCATATATTCAAGGATAATGAACTTTATCAAGAAATACAACATTTTAACAAGAAATCAATTTGGCTTTCGCCCAAATCATTCCACACAACTAGCACTATTTAAAGTTCTTACTTATATTGTTGAAAATGTGGATAAGAATGAAAAAGTGGCCGGTCTGTTTTTTGATCTGTCTAAGGCCTTCGACACCATAGACCATCAAATACTCCTTAAAATTCTGTCTAAACATGGAATACGAGGTAAATGTGCACAGCTTATAGAGTCATACCTTGACAGTAGGGAGCAGCTTGTCTGTATAACCCAAAATGGTGTTAGGCATTTTTCATCAGTTACCTTGATTAAACAGGGTGTGCCGCAGGGATCAATTCTGGGACCGTTGTTGTTCCTGCTCTATGTGAATGGTCTTCGTGACAGATTTATGGAAGGTCTGATTTGCCAGTATGCGGACGACACTACTGTTGTGCTGACTGCGTCGGACATGTCTGGCTTGTCCGGGGTCTGTTCTTGTGCAGTGGGGACCATGCAGGATTGGTGCAAGGATTATGCATTAAGATTGAATGCTGATAAAACTGGACTTCTCACGTTCAGTAAATCATCTGCCAGGGATGAGTCGCTCTTGGTTCGTTGCAATAGCGGACCAATACCAGAGATGACCGATATAAAGTTTCTGGGCATTTACCTGGATTCGAGTCTGAATTGGGATTGTCAAACATTTGTTTTGGTTGGTAAGCTCCACAGCTTCTGTGCGTTGGTGCGGCGGCTGCGAAATGAGGTTTCCTTGAACACTTTACGGCAATTTTATTATTCATCTGTACAGTCATTGTTAACTTATAGTATAATGTTCTGGGGCTCTTCGCGGGGTGCCATGTCAGTTTTTATAGCGCAAAAGCGCATCCTGAGGTGCATTTTGAGACTTCATCCTCGAACATCATGTCGGGAACATTTTTCAAGATTGGGATTCTTGACGGTTCCATCACTATATTTTTTGGCACTTGTTTTATTTGTTAAAAAGCATATGTATCTTTTTAATAGTAACGCACATTATTATGCTAAAAGTATGACCGTTGTGACCAGAGGCAGAGAAAATCTGAGTGTGCCTGCACATTCGTCCGCATTTTTTAAGAGGGCTCCATTATACATGGCTGTCAAAACTTTCAATATGCTTCCTATAGATATAAAATCCGTGAGCAAGCCTATTAGGTTTAAAAGAGCGGTGAAAAGGTTTTTGCTGGGCAGATGTTTGTACAGCTTTGATTTTAACATTTGAGCTCCATTATTTTATTTTAATAACATTTTAAGCTAAGTTGTGACATACTGGACTTTTATTTGTCATTTTAATAGTTTTTAATATTGTAAACATACATATAATATCCCGTTGGTATTGTACTACATTTTTTTTTTGACGTTGCTTATGTTTTTTCTTTAAAATTTTGCTGGCAATAAAGAATATTATTATTATTATTATTATTATTATTAATGTCACGTATTCCTGTCAACAGGTGATAGATTAGGTCAAAAGCAACCGATTTTGTCCTATAATGTCCTATCCAGAAGTTCACCGCTTTTGAGTTATTTGAATTTTATTTTTTTATTTTTTATTCCGATTTCAGACGGTTAAATTTGAAATATAAAAAACTACATGTTTGATTTTAAGTTTTTTATTATCGCCGCGTAGTGGATATTCCAATAGTTCATAATAAGTAATAAAATGTTGAACACTTACAAAAGTTTTAAAATTACGCTTTTGAAATGTATGATTTTCTTAGTTTTTTACTAACTTATTCGATAAAAAATGCAATTTTCTGTAAAAAATCTCCTAGTAATGAAATGTGCAAATTATGTAAATAATATCTCTATCTAACAAGCTTTCATTTGAGGTATAAAAGTTACAACTAACTCAAGTACAAAGACATAAAATTAAAAAAATATGAGTAAAGTTGTACGAACGATAATTACGTAGGATAAATAAAAGGTTTTTATTTTAATTACAGTCTTATTTAATTACATTTCCTTTAGTATTTTACAGATTCTGCTCAAATTGTAATCCCCTGTTACGAATACATGCCCGCATTCTCTTACGTAATTCACTTTTGGTAACTCTAGTTGTTAAGCGGCTTTTTATACTAAGTGACATATAAATCCGAATACCCAGTTTAAATGGTTTTATTTTAATAAAATTTTGTATAAGTACTTAGTGAAGCATAATAAGTAAATGATAAAAATTTCAAAATGATTGCACTGCTTTAAAGCCCTTTGACCTTTAGTAATGTGTGGATGCACCCTGATGTGCTACGCATTCTCCAACGCGCCTAGGCATGCTTCTGATCAGGTGGTCAATGTCCTCTTGTGGTATCTCATTCCAGGCAACCACCAACTCCTCTCGAAGTGCTTCTAGAGTCTGAGGAGGAGGTTGCAAATTGAGCAATCTCCTACCCATCATATCCCACACGTGCTCAATTGGGGATAAGTCGGGAGATCTTGGTGGTCATGGTAACAATGTGACATCATTATGATGAAAAAAGTCTATTGTGACTCTTGCAACATGTGGTTGGCCATTATCTTGTTGGAAAGTTGGATCTGCCAGGGTGTCAAGATAGGGTAAAAGATGGGGTTCTAGAACTTCGTGGATATTACGCTGCGCGTTCATGTTACGTCTGATGAAGATTAAAGGTGACCTGGAACCATAAGCTATAGCACCCCAAACCATAACTCCAACAGTGTGATGAACATGTCTTTCAACAAAAAACTGTGGATTCCTCCTTTCACCACTCGCCTTCTTACCCTGGCGCGACCATCGTGCATGCCTAAACAAAATCGAGACTCGTCTCTAAAGACAATACTGTTCCATTCCTGATCCCAGAGTGACCGTTGTCTGCACCACTCAAGGCGATTACGTCGGTGTTCTCGAGTTAAAGGGAGGACCCAGTGAGGCCGGTATAAAAACAAGCCAAAACTTCTCATTCGTCGGTAAACACTTCGCATGCCAATAGGTCTTCCATGTTCTGCAAACCATTCCATTGCAATGGAGCTGGTAGTGGAGAAACGGTCCCTTAAGGCCAATAATCTTAGGCGGCGATCTTCACGGTCTGTTGTTCTACGGCGGCGTCCAGTGCCCCTTGCTCTTTGCGTACGGCCTTTTCGAAGCCATGCCTGACAACACCTAACCACAGTGTCTACACTTCTTTGCACTCTAACTGCAATTGCCCGAAAAGAAAGTCCAGCTTCCCGAAGTCCCACTATACGGCCCCTATCAAACTCACTAAGTTGACGAAATCGTACAGGTCTCCGTACTCTAGGCATCGTAACCTTTCGTAAAGGATGTCAAGAACCAAAATCCGCCAAACTTGAGTCTTTACTGCGGCTGAAATATTCATTTTTAGAGCGTTGGTGAATTGAAAAAAGCAGTATAAAAACCGGAATGTCCAACTGATAAGGCTGAACATTTTTTCACTTGTTATTTACAGTAAGATAAATACATTCACCAACTTTTATTAAAATAAAACCATTTAAACTGGGTGTTCGGATTTATATGTCACTTAGTATATTTGTGAGAACTAAATCCATTGTAGAATACATATTGAGTTCGCAATTTTAGATTAATCATGGGAAGATTCAGATAAGTTCTGTTGAGTCTCATGTATTAAATTTTCTGTATAGGTAGTTGATGGTCAACTTTGTCAAACGCTTTCGTAAAATATGTATTCGGTGAGACTCAAATTTGGCCAGCGTCGTAATGTGTCCGAGAGAGAAACGCGATTGGCGTGCGATATGTATGTTAGAAAAATAGTACAGTTCAACTTTTGCAAAAAAAAAGTGGTTGGAGGTGGATAAATCCTGGTATTTAGTAACTGCACGTGAGTGGCTGTAGCCTCCTTTTATCTTTGTTTGCGGTCTTTCAGATCATATAGACCGTTTGAATGACGTTACAATAAAATATGATACAAAGTACTCCAACTTCTTCACTCTTTTCAGCTTTCATGATTTAGTGCTATAAAATGTTTTTTAAGACATCTACTTAACCAGTGCTTTATATTGAGCTACTTGGTGATTGAAATGCGCATCCTTTAGCTGCCCTAAATTTGAAATTAGTACATTCTGAATCAAGGCTTGTCTGCAATATTACCCCTTTTCTAGAAATCATTGTAAAACGTCAAATGGCCAAAATTGGTCAATCAATATTCGAATCTTACTCGTACGTGATCAAGAATATAGAAAACAGAACCTACATACTTTTTACAACTGCAAGTATATCAAAATATAAATAAAAGTGAGAAAAAGCTTACCTTAAATTTGCCAGCAGCTTTCATAGCCATGTATGCCCTCCATACTGATTGTATTTTGAGTGCAGCTGCATCTTCCTTGCTTATTGAGCTTACTTTTCTCTTATCTGAAAAGTACTAGTGTTGTTTATCTACTATCGTTATTCAATGGACGCTTACCTTTGTCTTCCATTGTTCTTTTCATACTTTTCTGTTCCATTTTTGTGTTCTCCTTCCTAGACTTGAATCCCCTCCACATAGATTGCAATGCAGTTGCGGCTTTCTCTAGCTCCTCTTCATCCTCCTTACCAGCTGTAGACGCCCCTGACTCATGTGTGGAACTCACTGCTCCATCACTAGTTGCTTCAAAGGACTTTGTAGATCCTATGTTATTTACCTCACTCTTAGAATTTTTTGAAAGATCGTTACCAAGACCATCATTTATGGATGTTTCAGTCTGCATTTTAAGTGTTTGTGTCATTTTTTGTTCACCGCTAGAACTACTGGTTCTACTACTGTTCCGGTCTTTCGGAGATATTTTTCCATATTGAGCAGTAATTGCCGAATCTCGTGCAGTTGTTTGCTTATCGTTGGCAGCTTTCATGTCAGTGCCTTGCGACTCCTGGTCAACTCCGCTCTTGAGTTTTTCGGTAGGATTAACTTGCGAATTCTGCGATGCTCCCTCATCTCTTCCACTGATTAAGGTTTCTGTATCTAGGGGTCGAGTTACTACGCCAACAGACTTGTTCAGTTCAAGGCTACTGGTGTCTGGGAACATGTGACCTTCTACACCCATCGCAGGCTTCTTTTGGGTACTTGATACTTCTTCACTTTGCAGCAGATCTCTCAAAAATTCTTGATTCGTTGTCTCGACTGTTTTCTTATCTTGTTCACCAGCAGAAACTGCCGTTTCAGAAGTTTGGGTGTCCTGACTATTTTCGTGTCCAGCTTCGGCTTTATAAAGTGTCGTAGTTGTAGTTTTGGTTTGATTCATCGATGTTTCTTTAATAGATTCTTCATTTACAGTTTCAATCGTTTTCTTAACTTTCTGAATCGTCTGCCCACCATCAGATTCTACAGTTTCAAAACTGTGTGTGTTTTGACTGCTTTTATGACCAGCTTCGCTTTTCAACTCTGCGGTAGTGGTAGTTTCAGCATGATTCAGCAATGTATATTTTAAAGAACCTTCGTTACCATCCGTTACTACTGCTTTGGAGCTTTCTGCGTCTCTAGCACTTTTATGTTTAGCGTCGGTTTTGAATTCTGTCGCATTGGTAGAATGATTTGCCGATGTCTCTTTCACAGGTTCTTCATTGATCCTCTGAAACATCTGCTTATCCTTTTGAATCTTCTGCCCGAGCTTTGGTATAATTTTTTCAGAGCTTCCTTGAGGATCTCCAGGCATGCTTTCCAAGCCTGGCTCAGTGACTGATTCAGAATGATCTATCTCTGCCTTTTTTAGATATTCTTTCTTTGTTGATCCAAGCCCTTGCTCATATTTTGGAATGCTTTGTCCACCATTAGATACCTTTGATTCAGCACTGCTAATGTCCTGGCTACGTTCAACTTCAGTCATCAACACCCCAGCAGTCGCAGCTGCCAACTTTTCTCCGTGTTCTGCCAGAAAGTCGCTTGAGCCAGGTTGACTAGCAGCACACTTTTCTGGATCACTGCTATCCATAGTAGGTTTTAAATTGTTTATGGCTATTTCAGAATCATTTGGAAGGAAATCAGAATATTTTGAATGAGGGTCACCTGTATGTTTCGGTATTGCGTGACCACCATTAGCAACTACCTTATGCGCTTCCTTAGTGTCTCTTTGTGCTATATTCTTCAAAACCCCATTAGATGTAACTTGAGGCTTGTTTTTGTCTGGAGTTCCATTACTCTTCAACACTTTTCTTACAAGAAACCCTCTCCACATGGACTGAATCTTCAAAACGGCATTTGCGGCACCGAACATCTTATGGTTATTATTACGATCGCTCTTTGTGCCATTTTGTCCAGAATATTGCTTAAGCTCTTGTCGTAGCTTATATGGGTTGTAGCTAGTGTGGAAGCTGCTTAGCTTCGATTCACCTTGCACCCTTTCGAGCTCTTCTCGCAGTTTTGCTATATCAAACCTAGAACCTCCTTCAATGTTTTCGTCATTTTTGCTTTGAGCAGTCAGGGTTTGATTACTCTTCACCTCAGCTGTGGGAGGTTTATAATTTGGGTAGTTTGCAAGCTTGGTGGCATCCACAGACTGAACTCTTCTGATGACTCTGTCTTGAACATTTTCAGGAGTCTCGACTGATCTTTGTTTTAAAACTGTAGACTTGCTCTGAAAGAATACAAGTATATTATTACAAGTATGCCGGTAATATTTAGACAAGGGATTGTGTTGTATAATACGAACTAGACTGAGGTTACTGGATGAAAACTGCTTGCTTCCATGTGTAGAGTTTACGCATGTAAGGTCCGTATACCGATCTAGTTAGTCTTAGAAAAGTTAAGAAAACAAATGAAGCTATTATTCTTTACAGCAAATGTGTAATACTATACTAAGTGACATATAAATCCAAACACCCAGTTTAAATGGTTTTATTTTAATAAAAGTTGGTGAATGTATTTATCTTACTGTAAATAACAAGTGAAACATTTTTCAGCCTTATCAGTTGGACTTTCCGGTTTTTATACTGCTTTTTTTTAATTCACTAACGCTCTAAAAATGAATATTTCAGCCGCAGTAAAGAATCAACGTTGGCAGATTTTGGTTCTTGACATCCTTTACGATCGGTTACGATGCCTAGAGTACGGAGACCTGTACGATTCCGTCAACTTAGTGAGTTTGATAGGGGCCGTATAGTGGGACTTCGGGAAGCTGGACTTTCTTTTCGGGCAATTGCAGTTAGAGTGCAAAGAAGTGTAGACACTGTGGTTAGGTGTTGTCAGGCATGGCTTCGAGAAGGCCGTACGCAAAGAGCAAGAGGCGCTGGTTGCCGCCGTAGAACAACAGACCGTGAAGATCGCCGCCTAAGATTATTGGCCTTAAGGAACCGTTTCTCCACTACCAGGTCCAGTGCAAATGAATGGTTTACAGAAGACGGAAGACCTATTGGCATGCGAAGTGTTTACTGACGAATGAGAAGTTTTGGCTTGTTTTCATACCGGCCACACTGGGTCCTCCCTTTAACTCGAGAACACCGACTCAATCGCCTTGAGTGGTGCAGACAACGGTCACTCTGGGATCAGGAATGGAACAGTATTGTCTTTAGTGACGAGTCTCGATTTTGTTTAGGCATGCACGATGGTCGTGCCAGGGTTAGAAGGCGACGTGGTGAAAGGAGGAATCCACAGTTTTTTGTTGAAAGACATGTTCATCACACTGTTGGAGTTATGGTTTGGGGTGCTATAGCTTATGGTTCCAGGTCAACTTTAATCTTCATCAGAGGTAACACGAACGCGCAGCGTTATATCCACGAAGTTCTAGTACCCCATCTTTTACCCTATCTTGACACCCTGGCAGATCCAACTTTCCAACAAGATAATGCCCGACCACATGTTGCAAGAGTCACAATAGACTTCTTTCAACATAATGATGTCACATTGTTACCATGGCCACCAAGATCTCCCGACTTATCCCCAATTGAGCACGTGTGGGATATGATGGGTAGGAGATTGCTCAATTTGCAACGTCCTCCTCAGACTCTAGAAGCACTTCGAGCAGAGTTGGTGGTTGCCTGGAATGAGATACCACAGGAGGACATTGACCACCTGATCAGAAGCATGCCTAGGCGCGTTGGAGAATGCCTAGCACATCAGGGTGCATCCACACATTATTAAAGGTCAAAGGGCTTTAAAGCAGTGCAATCATTTTGAAATTTTTATCATATACTTATTATGCTTCATTAAGTACTTATACAAAATTTTATTAAAATAAATCCATTTAAACTGGGTGTTCGGATTTATATGTCACTTAGTACATTTCAGTGTTATCACTCAAATTCTTTCACAAGTTTCATGAGTAATAATCTCCAAACATCTGCGTTACCATTTTTGAGATATTATCTAGGAACTTCGGTATCGCTTGTCAGCTTCAATTTATTGATAAAAGTACCAAGCAAAGCAGTAGACGTCAAAAACGTTCTTAGAAACACATTCACTTAATGGGTTTTCCTATTCATCGTGACACAAAAGCCCCGGGACAGCTCTGTATTTTCTTGGGTAAGATATTTTTGGACCGTAAATTCGACCTTCAAGATTAATTTCCTGTCAACTTTATTTTTCAATAGAAGCTTACCCCAAGATCTGACTTTGATAGTTATTTTCCCCACTCTTCGTGTGAGATTTAATAGTTACACACATTTGACCTTTATTTGACTTTTAGTGGTAACCTTGACCTTGATTTCTGAAACATATCTGCATAAACGTTTCCGGCTCTTACAATTTTCGGCATCAAATAAGCGTTTGAATTCGGAAAGATATAGTTGATCTTGGAATTACAAATCCAATATCACCGCAGCTTGTGAAAATTTACTAAATACTTGACCTTACCAGTTATTTTCGTCACGATCTCTGCGGGAATTCTAGAGGTTTTCCTAGCAGCACATATCTGACCTCCATGTGATCTTAGTAGTCAGCATAACCTTGGTCTTCAATTCACAATTGAACATAAAATTTTCCGCTCTTCAGATTGCCGGCACCAAAAATAAAGATTTATGTTAAAAAAATGAAGTTGACCTTGAAATGACCTTGAAGGTGGAGATCTTGGTCACATCCAATAACACCGTTCACTTCCTCGTTAATATTTACCAAAGACCTGCACCTGATCGTTGTTTTCATTAGTAATTCTGTGATATTTATAGAGGTTTTCCTAGTAGCACACATTTGACCTTTAGATGGCGCCCTGACCGTGCGCTTCAACTCGTTCTTAAACGTAAACTTTGCCACGTTTCCGACAACTGGCATCAAGAGTAGGGCTCGTCGTTTAAATAAATATATTTGACTTTGAAGTAACCTTGAAGATGAAGATCAATGTTAAACAGAAGGTCAACGTTTACTTCTTCGTCAAAATTCAACAAAGACCTGACCTTGATAGTTATTTTAATCACTCATCCGGTGAGATTCATAAAGGTTTCCCTAGCAGCACGCATTTGACCTTCATTTGACCTTCAATAGTCATCCCGACCGTGGACTTTGATTGGGTTTGAAAATTTTCTGTATTTTAGACTTCCGGCATAAAAAATATGGGTTCCTGTTAGAAAGATAAAGTTGACAATGAAGGTGAACTTCAAGGTCAAATTCGAGGTCACCGTTGAAATCCTCACTAAAGGTTACTGAAGACCCAAGCTTGATCTTTTCCCAGAAAAACATTACCCGAGAAAATACAGAACCGTTCCGGGACTTTTGTGTCACGCTGTATATAGACACTAATGCACTCACCTTATCCGTGCCTGACTGTTGCGTCTCATCACTTTCCTCTGTAGTATCGTGAAGCTTCACCTCCTTGCACGAACAATGTTCTTTGTAAACATTTGCTTGCTCCTGCTCAATAAAGTTATCGATGAACCCCTTCACATCAGGATGTAGCCGTTCCTTATGTTTTAGAGTAAGTCCAATCAAATCAGTTTTATGCTGTTCATTATGTTCATCTGTTTCCAATATATTATGTATATCACTCTTCTCCGTTAAATGTTTTGTGTCTGTCTCGATACCTGAGTCAGATTCACGTGTAGTCACTACGTGTTCTCCGCCATCTCTAATCTGATCTTGTTCCTGCAATTTTATGTTTTTATCTACGGAAGTCGTTCCCACTAATGCAGGTTCTTCCCCACTACTCGGTTTAACTTCTCGTTTGCTCACCACGTGCTCCAGCTCTTTTGAACTAGCTTCCAGATTTCCCTCACCGTCATCCTCATGTAGCTTTACCTCTCTGCACGAACAGTGCTCTTTGTAAACATTCGCTTGTTCCTTTTGTATAAAGTCATTGATGAAATCTTTAACATCATGATGCAGTCCCTCTTCGTGCTTAAGGGTTAGATCTATCACATTTACCTCTCCCAGGTCTTTATCCCTTTCAGCTTCCTTATTTGCATTCTCTCTTGTCAACTCCTTGCTTACCAGGTTGTCTCGTTCCTCTTTTTTTTCCTTCTGTCCAAGAGCATTTACTTCAACTTTTTCTTGGTCATTCGACTTAGCTTCGCGTTTAGTTACCAAGTGTTCCTGTTCTTTGGAACTAGCTTCATTACTTTTCTCCTCATCATCATGGAGCTTGATCTCCGTGCACAAGCAATGCTCTTTGTAAACGTTGGCTTGCTCCTTTCCTATAAAATCGTTGATAAAGGTTTTAACTTGAGGATGCAAGCCTTCCTTATGTTTGATGGTGGAGTGTATTAGATCTGCCATACCTAATCCTCCATCATGTTCAGCCTTTTTGTTCTTCAATTTCGCTCTGTCATCATTGTCCTCTTCCATTGAACGTTTACCTATCGAGTGGTTTTGTGTATCCACTCGCTCACTAGTTGTTCCTGTCGTGGCAGATCCACTTGGCTTCGTAGATTCAACTTTCACTGTACTTTGATCGTTTTCTGAATGAACCGTCATTTCGTCTGTTTCTTGCGCATTTTCAGCATCAGTCCTTGTCTGATCAAGATTATTTGAACTCTGTTTGCTTGCATCATCGTTGCTATGTTTCTCATAATCTGTATGACCTATGTTCAACTTCTCTAGAATAAGTCTGTCTTCTTCACTCATTCCGCTAAGATCTATCTTCTCTTGATTGTCATCAGGACGAGGACTGATATCGGTCAGCTTATGTTTAATTTTTTGAGATTCATCTTTTTCTAGTTCTAAATTGTTTATCGAAAGTAAATTGGTATTTACTACTCTGCTGTTTTCAAAAGCTCTGACAGAACCGTCTTCACTTGAGCTACTAATATTATTTATTTTTATTGGTATTTTTGAAACCTTACTTGGAGAGCTTTTCCTAATATTTTCCGAGGCCTTGCCTTTATCGGATTCTTCTGAGCTTGTCCTTGTAATGTCTGTATCTGGAAGTATATCATGAGTAATGATTTTAGACTGTTCTTCAATGTTTGCCCTTGCCTGAGCATTGACCTCATCATTAACCGGAATGGATGAAGCGGGTTGATCATTGACATCTTTCGAAAAACATCCACTTTTATCTGTCACTAATTTATTTTCAACGGAAGAACTGCTGTGCGAGGATTTATTGACACCATTCAGGTTTCTAGACTGTATATTTGTTTCCACTACTTCTCCCGCCTTCTCTGCTTTACCATTTGAGACTATAGGTTTAGCTTTGTCCCCATTACTACTTGAGCTACCTTTACTGGAGCTCAAGGACTTACTTGATTTCTGCTCCACTTTCGAACTTCTTTGCAATGCTTTTTTGTGTGAGCCTGTCAACTTCTGTTTTTCATCAGACTGGGTTTCCATTCGTCCTTTTGATTCCTCCTTTCCGCTTGAATTTGTTGTTAGAGAATTGTTCCCTGAATCTACAGACTGGTCCTTTATAGATAACACCTTGGAAGACCCTGCACTTGAGCTAGTTGAGCTAGCAGACAGTGTAGCCACTGTAGAATCCTTGGAAATTTGTTGCTGGTTTTCTGGTAGCAACAACTGCTTTGGCGCTGTTTGCCTGTTTTTTGAACTAGATCCCCGAGTGCTCAAGTTAGCCTCTTTACTACCATCGTTGTTCGAAGCGCTTTCTGCTGCTTTTCCCGACTTGTTGGTTGCTGGTAAGTTGCTACTCTGCCTTGGTGACTCATCTTTGTTATGAGACGAAGGCTTACCTTCTGTTTGAGAGCTCGATGACTTAGACAAAAGTTTCTTCTTACTTATTGACTTTGCTGGATCCATGTTTCTACTAGAGCTGTTTTGCTTGGAACCTTTGGACAGCTTTGCTCTAGGAGTTTGACAAAGTGATTTTGGTTGGTTATTATTCGACTCGATATTACCACTTATTTGTTGAGAATCCGTAGAACGCTTAGATTCGTCATTTTCATTATAATTTGCAGCCTTATGACTATTTTGAGATTTCTTGGATGCGTCACTAATGTTCTTATCATTAAGGCTTCCTTGAGGCGTGTCACTTTCAGCTGCCGAGCTAACGGTCTTCACATCTTGTTCTTCAATACTACTCGCAACTTGAGCACGTTCAGTTACATCCTTACTTACTACGTCCACCTTATTAAAGGTGTTTTGCGTAAAAGTAGTATTTTCACCTTCAGTACCTCTTTGGCGGCCGAACGTAGCAGAATTGTCCTCTGTCAAATTCAGTTCATGAGCTGCAGCTATTCCCTCTTTATTTTCCTTATTTGGACCAATGGTATCATTTGTTGTTGTTTTCGCTACATCTTTTGCAGTTGGAATATGCATTTGGAGAGTATCAACTTTGGTCCCCTTATTTTTATTCTCATCTCCGATCTCAGATGAAGCTTCACTGACAGATTGATTTGTAGCACTGTTCTCTGTTTTCGCAGGACTTTCGATTGTTATCTTATCAGAACTTTCCAGAATTTCCTTTCTACCGTCAGTCACTTCCAGTTTTCCTTTTTTATCAGTTGCATGCCCTATATTGTTGGTTAAGTCAGTAGACATTTTCGTTTTGCCTTCAGATCCACTAACTACTATGTCTTGATCTGAATCGGACTTACTTAGACTCGTGTCGATGTTAAGCTCTTCATTTGCGCTTTTTTCCAGTTCATCTGTTTTGACAAGACTTTTGTTTGGCTTGGTATCGTTGCTTACCATTGGCTCTTTTAGAGATGCTGACTCTTTATCTTTATTTTTTCCCTCGAATACCTGCGGTTTTGCATTTTCTGCAGTCACATTTTCCTTGTGATCTGGATTCTGAGTTTTCTGCTCAAACGTTGTACCAGAAGACATTTTTTCTTTCTCTGGACCTTCTATTCTATCACTGCTAGTGTGGGTAGTTATGATTTTGCTATGACTGTATTCAATTTGCTCTGTCCGCTTCACTTCAGTTTCTGTTTTTCTATACATTTCGCTGCTACTAAAGACGTGACCGGCATGTGTTGCTGAACTGTCAGCTAAATTAGTAGCTTCCTGAGTCTTGCTTGGATCATCAGATGGATCAGTTTGTTTTAATCCGCCCAAATCTAGTTTCAAAGTGCCTTGTTTTTGATCTACACTCACGTCATCAGCATTAGTTCTCCTCGCCATAACGTGAGTTTGGCTGTTTTGATTTTGACTTTCGATCATTTTTAGAGATTCATCACCATTGGTAGCACCACTTTGAGATACTAGATCACCTGTCATCGTTTCTGGATGTTGGCTAATTGACTGAGTACTCGGTTTTGTTCTTTCACGCTTTTCACTTTTGTCTGTGGAAGAAACAGAAAATACCGACTCCTCATCCTTTCTAGCTATACTTCCGTTTTGTTTGGTTTCGGGATGCTCTTGGCTAGACTTTATTTTAAAATAAACTTCAGTATTATTGAGATCATCGTCGGACGATTTGGTAGTGAATGCATCTGCGGTTGTCACTTCCTTAATTAAATCTGATGAAGGTTTCACCCCACCCGCGCTTTCTGCTGAATATTTCTCCATAGCACCCTTCTCGTTTGAATCCGATAATCCAGATGCATCTTGCTTTTCCATTGAAGGAATATTACCAGACACCTCCTTAGATCCTTCTCCTCCTCTTTGTGTATCATGTTTCTTGTCTTCCAATAAAGTACCTTTATTGCTTTTGGTATTACTTACTTCTTCGTTCTCATATGACTTCAATTTTGAAGATGATATCTGTTCGCCCGCTATGAGGTCTTGATGTGATGCTTCCTTCGGAGCATAGGTGTCATTTTCTTTATGCTTGTGGGATGTACCTGTTTTGAAATCAGATGCCACCTTTTGCATAGAAGCATTCTTAGCAGAGGACGTATCTTGAATGGAATGGAGAGAATTTTCACTTGTCACAGTCACTCTACTTTCAAGACCACCTGATGTATGTTCCTTTGGGTCATGTTGACTTCCTGAGCCGTCGTTGACTACACCTTCCACTATAACCTCTTTTATCCTAGTACTAGGTGCATCTGAGTCAACGTTCCTCTCAACAACCTTAAAAGAGTCATCAATCGGTAATATTCCCTCCGAGCCACTTTTACCTATGTCAGTGCTGCCGTGGCGAGTGTCACTTTCCTTAATTTTGTCGTCAGCATGATCCCTTGGTTGCAGCTGGTTTTGGTCTTTCGGTCTTGAGTCATTTTGCTTTTGGTCACCGGTTTTCAAAGCATTATAATTCCTTTCCTCTGATTTGGTTATAGATTCTGACTTCGAACTAATAATCCTCCCCTGATCAGCTTTAGAAGGAGAGACGGCTTCAACTTCTTTTCTCAAAGATGCTTCACTATCACTGCCTTTATTCGTTTCAATTGGTATGTTCTTAGAACGACTCGATCCAACTGAGTCTTCAGGAGTTTCCTTTGAATGGCTACTGTGGTCTTTATTTGTGTCATCTTCTTCCTTTGTCTTTAAATATGTCAATGCCTGACTGGCGGGCTCTAACTTTGGACCAACATGCTCTTGATCATTCATGTTAGCTGAAAGATCAGTTTTCTCTTTCTCATCTGAAGATGATTTGCGGTCATTACTTTCATTCATTTCATTTACGTTTTTTGCCGACCTGTGATCAGAAGTTTGGTCCTTTGTACCAGAATTCTTATGACTATCTTTGGATGTAATCGAGGACTTACTGTCATCTTCCGATAGGGTCTTGGTATCATCAATTTTTTGCACCTCACTCTGTGACCTCTTAGCTAGAGTATCTGTTGATCTCTCACTAGAAGCTTCTTTTGGAAGGCTACTCTGTTGCACTTGTTCCTTGTCGCTGCCTGCCTTATCTTTCTCGAGCTGTCCGTTAGAGACGGACTTGATATCAGATGTATCTTGGCTACCTATTGGGCTGATCCTGTCCTGTTTCTCTGGCGGTTCTGTTTGACTTACACTTCCAGATGGAATTTTGTGCGATGTACCTTCTAAATCATCTCCATCAATTTCAGATAGTTTATCCTTAACCTTTGCTGATCCTTCTGTGAGGCTGTTCTTCACATTTTCTGAGGTGTACGATGCTGAATAACCAACTTTTTCTCTAAGCGAAGCTTCATCTGAAGCTTTTATGACAGCTTTGTCGACGTCGATGTCTTTAGAATCCTTAACCATATCCGATGGGTGATCAGCAGCTGCAGCTCCCGTCAAACCATCTTTATCCTTTTTAGTATCTTGCTTAGCTGCTTCACTTTTGGATACTTCTGATAGATCATCAGGAAGACCAGACTCGAGGTCATCATGACTACTATCATTTTTAGTGGAGTCGCTAGTATCGTGTTTATCTATCACTGACTTTGTTTTTGGACTATCTTTGGATTCAGATTTGAGAGATTCCTTTTGAGCATCTCCCGTCGATAAATTTTCACTAGGCGAAGCTTCACTTGAGTCTCTTATCTCAACTTTGTCATTGTTAGTACCTATAGAATCCTTAACTTCATATGATGAGTGATCATCAGCTGCAGCACCCGTCAAGGTATCTTCAACCTTTTTAGTATGTTGCTTAGCTATGGCAATTTTGGATGTTTCTGATAGATTACCAGGAAGACCAGGCTTGAAATCTGCGTGACTTTCATTTTTTTGCGAGTTACCAGTGCCGTCTTTATCTCTCATTGACTCTGTTCTTGGACTGTCTTTGGATTCAGATTTAGCAGATTTCTTTTGAGCATCTGCCGTCGATAAATTTTCCCTAGACGAAGCTTCACTTGAGCCTCTTATCTCAACTTTGTCATTGTTGGTACCTGTAGAATCCTTAACTTCATCCGATGAGTGATCATCAGCTGCAGCATCCGTCAAGTTACCTTCATCCTTTTTAGTATGTTGCTTACCTTTGGCAATTTTGGATGTTTCTGATAGATTACCAGGAAGACCAGGCTTGAAATCTGCATGACTTTCATTTTTGTGAGAGCTACCAGTACCGTCTTTATCCCGCATTGACTCTGTTCTTGGACTGTCGTTGGATTTAGAGTTACCAGATTTCTTTTGAGCATCTCCCGTCGATAAATTTTCCCTAGACGAAGCTTCACTTGGGCCTCTTATCTCATCTTTGTTGTTGTCGATGCCTACAGAATCCTTAACATCATCCGATGGGTGATCAGTATCTGCAGCACCCGTCAAACCATCGTTATCTCTTTCAGTATCTTGCTTAGCTACAACACTTTTAGATGTTTCTGATAGATCATCAGGAAGACCAGACTGGAGCTCGACATAACTACTTTCATTTTTAGCGGAGTCACCAGTACCATGTTTATGTCTCACTGATTTTGTTTTTGGATCGTCGGATTCAGATTTACCAGATTTCTTTTGATCATCTCTCGTCGATAAATTTTCCTTGAACGAAGCTTCATTTGAGGCACTTATCTCAACCTTGCCATTGTCGGTACTCATAGAATCCTTTACATCACCCGATGAGTGATTATCAGCTGCCGCACCCTTCAAGCTATCTTTATCCTTTTTAGTATCTTGCTCAGTTAAGACACATTTGGATGTTTTTGATAGATTACCAGGAAGCTCTGACTTCAGATCAGCATGACTTCCATCTTTAGAGGAGTCACCAATACCGTGTGTATCTCTCACTGACTTTGTTTTTGAACTACTTCTGGATTCAGATTCACCAGATTTCTTTTGAACATCTTCCGGCGATAAATTTTCCCTGGACGAAGCTTCATTTGAGGTTCTTATCTCAACTTTGCGATTGATGGTACCTATAGAATCCTTAACGTCATCCGATCTGCGATCAGCAGCTGCCGCACGTGTCAAGCTATCCTTGTCCTTTTTAGTATCTTGCTCAGTTATGACACTTTTGGATGTGTCTGCTGGATTACCATGCAGACCAGACTTGAGGTCAGCATGACTTTCATTTTCAGGGGAATCACCAGTACCGTCTTTATCTCTCGCTGACTCTGTCCTTGGACTGTCTTTGGATTTAGATTTACTAGATTTCTTTTGATCATCTGTCGTCGATAAATCTTTACTGAATGAAGCTTCATTTGAGGCTCTTATCTCAACTTTGTCATTGTCGGTATCCTTAACTTCATCCGATGAGTGACCATCAGCTGCAGCACCCGTCAAACTATCTTTATCGTTTTTAGTATCTTGCTTAGGTACGACACTTTTGGATGTTTCTGATAGATTACCAGGGAGACCAGACGTGAGGCCAGCATGATTTTCATTCGTAAGGGAGTCCCCAGTACCGTCTTTATCTCTCACTGACTCTGTTCTTGGACTGTTTTTGGATTTAGATTTACTAACTTTTTCTTGAGCATCTCTCGACGATAAATTTTCCTTGGACGAAGCTTCGTTTGAGGCTCTTATCTCAACTTTGTCATTGTCGGTACCTATAGAATCCTTAGCGTCATTCAATGTGTGATCTGCAGCTGCAGAACCCGGCAAACTCAATTTATCCTTTGTAGCATCTTGCTTAGCCATGGCACCTTTGGATGCTACTGATAGATCGCTAGGAAGACCAGACTTAAGATCAGCATGATTTTCATTTTTAGCGGACTCACCAGTACCGTCTTTCACTGACTCTGTTCTTGGACTGTCTTTGGATTCAGATTTACTAGATTTCTTTTGAGCATCTCCGTTTGATAAATCCGATCTTGGACTGCCCTTAGATGATGATTTGTTACCTTTAAGGGATTTTGCTTCAGATGCAGCTTGCACTACATGGCATTCTTCAGATGACTTGGAAGTAGTAAAATCTTGTTTACTGACTGTCATCGGTTTTATAGCGGAAGGAATGTCTCGTGGTGTACCCATATTTTTCTCTGGTGAACCTGTACTGAATTTTGCCTCAGAACTTTCTATAGAAGGAACATTACTCAATGTTGAGCTATTGCTCTCTCTTCTTCTTGGTATCACCTCGGTTCTTTCATTTGTATCAGCCGATTCGCTCGCTGATGGATTACTGTTCTTAGCTTCTTTATTCTGGCTTGCATTTTTGTCTCGGCTTAAGCTTCTCTTACTATCGTACTGACGCTTAGGTCGACGGTGAGAAAGTGACACTTTATTCACTGATGGTTCCAGCTGCCCTGTATCACCTTTTACAGTTTTGGCCAGCTTTTGTTCGGATGCTTCACCTTTTTTGGATGACTCCTTTTGAGAGAGACTTTGAGGGATAACCTTTCTTCCGGGGCTTTCACTGATATCGTTACGTGGATGTCTTAGAGGGCTCCTTCGCGTTGTTGAATGGTCTCTCATGCTGAATTGTCGGGACAACGTCCTAGCAACTGTACCGTGTGGTGCTCTGACTGGTCTTCGATTTGGTTCCGTGATTGTTTGTGCGCTTCTTACAGTTTTCACTGTAAAGAAATATTTTTTTAGAATTACCAACTACCTAAAAACGATACGGAAACGGTTTTAGGTCACCAATCTGCTTTTCAGTCCGCGGACTAACTCTTTCATATCTGTACCATCTGTAACTAACTGTAGAAGTGCTCCCAGTCAAAGCTTAAAAGCTTCTGATTTTAGAGTTCGCAATTAACTTCAGCTAGCATTTTCATAATAACTTTGGTGTATTTCATCAATGTACGGTGTTTTTCAGAATCCCCCTTACGTATTTTTTGACAGGATTAAGTTAGCAAACTGAGATTTGAAATCGTGAAATTACTAACCCATGAATACTATACTGTCTCATAAGCTAAGCGTCTGTATTTGAGAAATGCTCATGCCTACGTCATGCTGATGAGTAGCCAAGAAGCACGAAACAGATGTTAATGGTTGGTTGTCTCTTTCTGGTCGCGAGGACGTAAGCATCATATTTATGTAGAGTTAAAAATTTCATCAAAATATGAGCGGTACTTTCCAAGTTGTGGCGTGGGAAGGAAAAATTAATGTAACAACGAATGTTCACGCGCCAGACGGAGTGACTCAGATCCAGGACTTCGTACGGAGTTATACAGGGTGGCGCATCGAAAACGAAACAGACACATTTACTGGCAGCTCAATTTTTTTTGGAAAGACGCGCAGACCCGTCGATTTTGTTTTCGAGGGGGACACAAGTTAGCCACCTAAGCGCGGGTGATACCACCCCCAAAATCTTAAATGGAAAGGGGGGTCGAGTGATACCTTATTTGAAAGGTCTTTCAATTCCCAATGATATAAAATGACTCTCCATGCAATAATAAAGATTTTGCTCAAAATGTTGCCGCACATTTTGCAATATTTGAGGAGTAATTTGAAGGCACTCATTTACACTTGTTTGTCGCAGGTCTTCTAATGATGTTGGCTGAGAAGCATAGATTTTGCTTTTTAAATGGCCCCTCATAAAGAAATCCAAAGGTGATAAATCTGGCGATCTTGGGGGCCATTCAATGGCAGCACTTCTACTAATCCTACGATCTGGAAACGTCTGATCTAAATATTGTCGAACACGTAATGCGTAATGTGATGGGGCACCATCCTGTTGGAACATCAACCTATTCGCAATGTACCGCCGATAATTCTGATTTTCAATTATGACAGTTAATGCAGGACCTATGATGACTTTCAGTAATTCCAAATACATTTCACGGGTCAAATTTCCAGCTAAGAAAAAAGGAGCATCTAAATGATCGCCAAAAATACCAGCCCAAGCATTTAATTTTTGAGGCTGCTGTGTTTGAACCTCATGATAAATTATGGGACTAGAATCGGACCAATATCGGCAGTTATGGCGATTTACTACGCCATTTAAGAAAAAGGAACATTCGTCGGAAAAGCAAGTGTTAAATAGAAAATTTTCATCGTTTATAATTCGTTCACTCACATCTTCACAAAATTGTAATCGCCTATCAAAATCGTCTTCATTAAGTTCTTGTACCAGGTGAATTTTATACGGAAGAAAACTATGGGCCTTTAGAATCCGTTGGACAGTACGTTGACTAACACCACACACACAGCTCCAATTTGCGGGTACTTAACGTAGGATCTACATAAACTTGCCCTAAAATCCCCACTTCTATTGCTTCATTCCTTATGTGATTTTCAATGTTGCGTTTTTTATTGGAGACTGACCCAGTTTCCCGAAATTTAGCTACAAGTTCTAGAACATATTTTCGATGCACCTTACTGTACTCATGTCGCTCATTAAATGTTTCTGCTGTTCTATTAGCGCACTGATTATTACCGAAAAATATTTCGATAATTTCAACTCTTTCTGCTTTGGAATATACCATGGTTAATTTATATAATAAAGCATGACTAGTTATTTTAGCAACAAAGTTTGGTCAAATCAATCGTAAACTATGTACTTAATTACTATTTAAAATAAGTACGAGATATCTCCTTTCTTTCTTCAAGAAATAACTTTTTTGCCACAAAAAAACGCTCCCATAGCTATTTTCAACAACAAAATGTTAAACAAACCATGGGCGTGGTGAAGAGAAGCGTTTACTTATTAAGTAAATTCTTTCAGTCAAATTTCTTCTGAAAGTAGTGCAAAAAAATCTGATGTACCTATTAAAGTCTACTTTAAACTTTATATCAATAAATCTTCAAAACTACTGAACTGAAGCTCATATATTTTACATCATTATAAAGGGAATTGGAAGACCTTTAAAATATGGTATCACCTGACCCCCTTCCCATTTAAGATTTTAGGGTTCGTGTCACCCCCGCCCAGGGGGCTGCACGTGTTAACGTGATTTTTTGCCAAACTTGTGTCCCCCTCGAAAACAAAATCGACGGGCTGAGCGTTTTTCCAGAAAAAAAAACTGAGCTACCAGTAAATGCGTCTGTTTCGTTTTCGATGCGCCACCCTGTATTTATTTTCGTGTTCTATAAAAACTACATCACCTTGCCTTACCCTGAGGAACACGTTTCGTCTGTCGCTGGAATTTCAGACCGGATACGGCATATAAGATAGAATAGTACATACTTCTATTCACTTACCTTTGTAGTTTGCTTTATCCCTCAAAAGCAAAAGCTTGGAAAAATATCTTGCAGCAAACTCATACAAGTCGTCAGGCTTATTGAGCAGTACTTCCTTTGTTAGCCCTTCCATTAGTTCTTCCAGCCCAATAGGTACACTGACCCTTTTAACTATCATCTCAGCTGTTTCGGTCTCCATTCTGTACTAAATGAAATGAAAAAAATGATCATGGAAAGTAAAGTCGGTTTCAATGGTCTGTGCGTCATTGGTGGTGTGAAACTTAGTCACAAAACTAATGTAGAAAGTTTGATAAAATAATGTAAAAAGGTATTTCAAGAACAAGCTCGGGTTGTTATTCATTGGTTTATAATTATGTTGCAAAATTTTTTCTCACATATCCACTTATATATTAAGGAGTGACAATCACTTATCACTAAATTAGACAATCTTCGCAAAAAAAGTTAAAACTTCTCCGGAAAAACCGTAATGGGCATCCTCAGAAATGTCTCAAATCTCAAACTCAAAGACTGTACATTCTACCTATACCTCCAAGACATCTACCCACAACAACCATTACACTTTGTATACAAAGGTTTATCCAACAAACTTCAAGGTGTTTGCAATGAACATAATATTATAACTGTCTTTAAAACAACTAAGATACCTACTCTGCCACCCAAAACCTACTAATGAAAATATATTCAGAAAAAGTTCAATATATACGAAAAGATAGACATTGACCTGTAAAATTTAACATCAAAGAACATAAAGGCTATATGAGAAAGAGATAAACCTTAAAATCAGTACTAAGGGACCATATATGAGATACAGATCAAAGGACAAAATGGAAGGAAGTCTCAATATTACACAAAGAGGATAACAATTACAAAGGGGAGTCACAATATAAGATCAAACAACAGTTGTGGACTGTGACTCAGTTTGGTAGAGTATCCTTAAAGGAAAGCTCTGAATAACATTCTCCAAACCGACTGATCGATGATAGGTTTTTGCTTGCAGATGTTTCCTTATGATTTGTTATGGAGTCTCAAATGTGCAGATGTTTTACTCCGGTATCTCATGGGCGAGCAGCATTATTTCCTCACAAGACATACAAATACAACATGATTCTTTTTAGATGTCGAATGACTAGGTCTCGCATTTCAGATCTATGGACAATGCACATGTAGCATCTGTAGTCGAAGATTGTATAATAATTATGTGTGTTTCAACAATAGTTCTTGACAAAATGGAAGGAATATTACACAAAGAGGATAACAATTACAAACGGGAGGTACAATATAAGATCAAACAACAGTTGTGTACCCAGTTTGGTCGAGTATCCTTAAAGGAAAGCTCTAAATGGTATTCTCCAAACCGACTGATTGATCATAGGTTTTTTACTAGCAGATGTTTCCTTATGATTTGTTATCGAGTCTCAAATGTGCAGATGTTTTACTCCGCTATCTCATGGGCGAGCAGCATTATTTCCACACAAGACATACAAATACAACATGGTTCTTTTTAGATGTCGAATGTCTAGTTCTCGCGTTTCAGATCTATGGACAATGCACATGTAGCATCTGTAGTCGAAGATTGCATAACAATTATGTGTGTTTCAACAATAGTTCTGGGCGGATTTTTGCATTTTTAGAGATTTTTTGGCATTCTCGGAGGGTGCCGTGTCTTTTGCATTAAAAATAACGACAAATAGCCTCATGCTCTCTTGTCGCATTGGAGGACTCAATATCCTTTTGGGCCCGAAATATTAACTCCAGGTAGTGCTGGGTTATGCCTGTTTTGAGCAGCACCATCTTAAAATTGCAATGATTGTTTCGCAAAATATCAGTATCCTACAGGACGGTGAAGACTGATGTACTAATACACTGAACAGTCATGTACAATTGAAGGAAAGCACAAATGAGTTGTCACCTAGAAGACAAATAGAGCAAATGTATTTTAATGAGTGTCAATTGTACCTTGAAAAATATAACTGTTGGGACTGGAACGTCTCATACAAGAAAAAGTATTCATTTTGATGACTACAATCTAAAGGCTAAGATGCTGTGAACAACCAGGAGACGCAACGAGTAGTAGCATGTCAGCAGTTTGACCATGTCCAAAGGAAAGACGAATTGAATTGTTGGAGTTCAAAGCATACGAACTCCTCAAATCTGATCGTATTAAATAATATGAAATGCAACAATGAATGCCTTACTTATTGTTGTACTTCTACTGCGATGTTCCGCGTACGGTATTCGGTTTCATTTGTTTCACGGAACCGTTCATTTTCTGGCATGGTGGGAATGTGCTTTTAGAACATATACCTTGCTTAATAGATTCGGACGAGCTAATATTGTACGTGCTGCCATCTGCGCACTGAGCTGTGAACTATGGCGGAAAATCGATACAAAGCGACGGAAAACAGGGAATATGCGGGGAAGATATTTACGAACGAACGAGAGCTCGCCAGATGTCGGCCAGGAGAGGTTGAGAACCACTAACATGATAGAGTGGGGTCTGATGCACCACGAGTATTCATTCTTTATCAATTAATAATTACACACGCCAACAAAGTAAAAAATTGGTGTGAACTGGGGGTGCCACTATATGTTTTCCATTTTCGTCCGCTGAATACGAATCTAAAGTCCGAGTTGGAGATCGCTTCGAGATTTATACAATAACTATGCCTTCTCACAGAACATTTTTACTAAATGCTTTACTTATAATGCTTACCTATATCATGTTACTCTCTGATACTAAAGTTTTAAGCTTCCAGAATTCCATAAAGTGTTTAAAAAATCATTTTATACTTGTATCAAATCTTTATTTATTTTACTCAATAAATTCATTTTTATGTTGAAACCTCTGCGTTTTTAGTGGTAAATATTCGTTTTATCCTTCGTTTTGTCGGTAGACATTTTACGGGTTAAGTGGTAAACGATAAAGTCGTTTTATTATTATTATTATTATTATTTATCAAAAAATACCTAAGTATGTTATCCTAGGGCCAAAATTACATTCATATTTGTCCAGCGACCTTGAATTCTGACTCCAGATTAACCTTCAGGGGAAGAAAATACATGGGAAAAATATCGTAAGACCCCCAGTACACGTTGCTTTTTAGCTGTTTGGCGGACCTGTGATATTAGTTTTATCATTTTTATCCGTTTCCTCTAACATTTGTCTAGCGACTGAAAATTCCGACTTCAAATTTTTTCAGCGGGAAAAAATAGGTGGAAATACAGTGAGACTCTGGGTACACATTACTCTTTGTTTGCGGATCTGTGATATGGTTTATATCGTTGAAAATAGTTTTGGTTAGTTAAGGTTCTCAAAATGGGTAGAGGAAAGGTTATTAGTGAGAAAATTCGGTTACTGATAATTAAATTTTTTAATTCTGGGAAATCAAACTCAGAAATTGCAACTTTGTTAGACTTATCGCGGTACAGTGTGAAAAATATTGTTAGAAAATATAACGTGACTGGTTCAGTTAATATTAAGCCACGATATGTGAAAAAAAAGTAATATCACAAATGCCGACCGAAGAGCATTAAGAAGAATAATCGTGAAAAACAGGCATACCAATTATTTACAATTAAGTGATCTGTGGAGTGACGCTGTTGGAAGGAGAATTTCGACGTCCACAACTCATAGAGAGACCCACAAACTGGGATTTAGCACTTGCAAGGTAAGTTTTCTTATAAAAAAAAGTGGAGTAAAAACTCTAAAGTTGCACAACTTGTGTATAGGTCAAAGCAAAGCCACTATTAAATCCACTGCAAAAGAAAAATCGGCTTAGATGGGCTAAAGAACATAGACAATGGACACCTCAACAATGGTGTGCAATACAATAGAGTGATGAGGCCCGATTCGAAGTTTGTATTGGTGACAGTCGCAGTAGAGTTATTCGCAAAAAAATGAAGCATTCCATGCTAACTGTCTGAAGAGAAAAGTGAAATTTCCAGCATCCATTATGGTCTGGGGCAGTATGTCATCAGAAGTAGTAGGAAAACTTCATTTTATTGATGGACATGTGGATACAAACAAATATTTGGCAATTTTAGAAGAATCGCTTTTACCACTCATGGAAGAATGTTTGGCATCCGGCCAAGATTTTGTGTTTCAGCAAGATGGTGCAGCGTGCCATACCTCAAAAAGGCTATAAAATGGATGGAAGAAAATAATGTACCACTTTTGAAATGGGTTTCTAGCAGTCCAGATCTGTCACCTATTGAAACTTTCTGGCACGAGATGAAAAAGGTTCTACGACAATATCCTGCTCGTAATATTACCGAACTGAAACAAAAGTTTCAAGAAGTATGGGATTGTTTTACACCAAATTTTTGCCAAAACTTGGTTAACACTATGCCCCAAGGGATTTCAGCCGTAATAAAAAATAAAGGTGATGTTACCCAATGGTAATCTTTCAATTGTTGCTTTGTTAACTTCGCGCATTTATTCGCACATTGTTTATTTGTTCAGATGTTCTATTAGTTATAGGTCTAAGTGATTTCAAATATGTATTTTTTACGACTAGCGTGTATCTAAAATGTTTTTGAGAAAATAAATTGTTTTAGAAATAAATAGTTTCGTCATGTTTAGTTTATAAAGGTATATTCTGGTACAAATCTTGAAGTGGGCCAACTGAAGTGGGAAGGGGCTCGTAGTGGGACACTGATAGCACGACTTTTTTTATTTTGTGGGCCTTTGTTATATAAAGTCGTTCATCACACCACGAAATCTCCTTCTGATTCATTTTCTAAGATGCAGACTTCTGCGTTAAATATGCGCAAAAAAGATGTTCATCATTTAAAAGTGCTTGTTGCCTTACTACTTACACAACTTATATAAAAAACAAAGGATAATCGTGGGTATATTCGCAGTAATGATAATGTAAAGCAAATACATTTCTGTCAAAGCCGGTACATTGTATAGGGCTTCCCAGGATTTCAAGTAATTGGCCTCAGAATCCGGCACTGCACTAGTACAATACATCCTCTACATTATCTATACCATGCTATACTTGTGAAAGTTCAAGTCCAGTTACATCTGATTACTTACGCAAAATCTCAAAGCTACTTGAGGAAGTAAATACCTTCCTCTTCGGCTTGTTAATAGCAGTGCTTCTCAAGCATATCAAAAGCGCTCCCTTTTTTTGTTAAAGACATTGTTCAGGAACTTCTATTTTCAGCTGCTTATTACGGAA